GGGAACGTTGAAACCACTCGTGCACTCTGCTACGGGATAGGCAAACATCGCCATAAACGTGTTTCATCAAAATTTAATACTGTCTCTTTGTTCGAAGCTCATTTTCGCACCGACAACACAAACTTACGGACACTTAAAGCGCAATAACTTCACTTGTAATCAATGAAATGTCATGTTATCCCACTAAAGAAAGCTGATTATAATGCATCAGTCGACATATAGATGGTAGACGAAGTAAAAATAGAAAATGAGTAAAGCAAAAAAAAAAAAAAAAATGTGTTTGAGAAACTAGCATAATTTTGCATATTTTCAATCACACTTCTAATATTTACTATTTTCAATCACACTTCTAATATTTACTATTTGAAAATCACAGCAGAGTTGACACACTGGTATCAACGCTCATTCTCATTCATAAGCAGCTCTTTAATTCAACCCCTTCTCTGGGTAAAAGTAAAAATTACATTTAAGCGACCAGCAACAATGCAATTTGTATATTTCCAAAAATGTCAAAAGAAAAATAAAAATAAACAACAACTTCTCCTACAAATAATTTGGGCGCATGAAAGTACCATTTATACACTCGATGTGATTTTCAAATATTTTCATTCAGATTGAATTACTTTTCAATCACATTTTTTCGAATTTATGCCTTGTGCCCTTTTTGTATTGCCTATTTTTCTGCCTTTGTGACACCATTATTCGATTTGCAGTTAAATATTATTATACGCTATTATTCATAATCGAGCCGCAGATAAACGAAAGCAACCAAACGGCCGACGTAATCCGATAGTACCAAAAATATTTTCACTAAGGTCGCCGATAAACGAAAGCGATGTGATTAGAGGACTGACTGTAGGGCTGATAATACAAGAGAAAGAGGGAGGGAGAAAGAATGACAAAGAAAGAGAGAGGAAAATTGGAGAGGTAGTTGAAAAACGGACAGATAAGTGTACAGGGTTGGCAAATGAGCTGATGAAATGCTTGAAAATCACGTGATTTGTTTGCAAAAGTCTACATTTTTAAATAGAAAGCAGTGCAAGAGCCACAGTAGAGGAAGACTAGAAGTTGCGACGGCACAGCAGTAGCATCAAAACAAAGTGTAATGCAAAGCAGATGATGCGAGACGCTGCTTTGTACTTTCATATATATGACTGTGAATGCGTGTGTGTATGCTGTATTTATGTGATTTTGCTTTGAACGCCTAGAAGTAGGCTGGTTTGTTGGTTTTCTGGCTGATCCTTTAGATATCTTGCTTACACACAATATTCTTACAAGGCTGTTTTAAATGAGGGCAAAGCAGGGAAAACACCGTTAAATAAATAAAATAAAAATGAAAAGCCTGCAAGCAGAGAAGACTAGACTGGCTACAATACCGCAATTCTGCAAATGACATTTGAGAATATGCCAAACAAAATGATGAAGACGGTGCTGATGACTGCGGTCAACGGTGTGCAATGTAAACTGAAGCAAAAATGGTGTGTTGGGGCGTTTAAGAAGAGGCAGGCACAAATATATTGCTACTGCAGATAATGTGGTTGATTCGAGTATTTAATTTTTTTGTCTATTTGGGCGAGAAGCTTGCCGGTTGTTAGTAAATAATTTGAAAGGGGATAATGGAGACTGTTTTTGTTTTCATGAACAGTGGATATGCTTAGCAACAAAACGATTACTGTGGAAATGTAATTGAGAAACCTCAAAAAAGCGATTAATACTGAACTTTTGTGGCTTAAGTTTGAAGATTTTTTTCAATTAAAAATTTATGTAAGCATAGGTAAATTAAAAATTAAGTCTTAGAGCTACGAGTATATCACTGCTTACTGGTCTATGGTCAAAAAGGTGACTGTTTTGAATAAAATAGAGCAAATAAAAAAAAAATAAAATAAAAAAAGGACAGAAAAATTTTATTTAAACTTTGTATTGAGTTAAAACACTTTTAAGCAGTTTTTGTGCCACATTTCCATTAAATTATTGTAAATGGGATTTACTGAAAAAATGTTTATAAAAAAATGTTTACTGTACAGTGGATTTTTAAGGGCTTAAGTGGGTTTAAAATTTAAAAAAAATTTATTTTTTTGGTTTTATTAAACAGTATGTTGAAAATATTCTCCCAAGATCGATCTGAATAAAATTCTAAGCGATATACCTTACGAAAGTCCCACCCAGCAGACCTCGTCCGTGAAGCGCAAGGTAAGTAAATGCGTTTTTCTCAAATCCCATTTTTGAAGTCGATGGATGCGATTTCTCAAAAAGTTACGAACCGATTTAGTTCGAATTGTGTGCACATCTTTTAAACAATACTTACTAGTTAGTTATTGAACGAAAGATTTTTTTCTTTTATTATTTTATAATTTTAGCAAAATATGAGATTTTTTGTTCAAAGTCTGAGAAAAAATTAAAGTTTTAAGTTTTTGTTCCTTCGTTCAAACACGAGATCTATATTTTTTTGGTTTTTTAATTTCATATGAACCAATAATAAGTTATGCTGTCCATGGCCAGAGCACTCTTTTGTGAGATATCCAATGAGATGAGGTCTCAACCACTTAATTTCCAACATTGCTATATCAATATTTTCAAGAAACATTGGTCAAATATGTACCTTTGATATGATTTATTATATTTTGAAATATGTTATTGTTTATATTAAAATAAAAAATCGTAAAAATGTTTTTTTTTGTACCTTTGAAACCCACCTAACCGCTTAAGAAGGTTAGAAGGACTTACAATTATGAAAAATGTATCATTAAGAAAATTGTAGATATCATAAAATTTTTCGAATGTAATTAATTTTATAAATTCCTTCGAAGTATAATTTACAAGGTCTTGAAGGAAGGTTTTTTATATTTTTTCAATTAAAACTATTTCAAAAAACAAATATTTATCAAAATTTGTATTTTTTAAGATTTTTTTTCGTTTTTTTTTTTACGTTTTCTTAAAAAAAAATATTATCTTTTCACTGCAGATCATCGTGCAAGAAGTTCTGCTGTCAGACTTTTGCCAAGGGTTCTCTTTGGAAAGAGAAAGTCGAAAAAGACTTTTCGTATTTTGTCAATAGATGTTGTTGCAGTCATATATCTTCAGTGCTACCAAACACATTGTGTCATAAAAATACTGCTGGATAGGTGAGATTCTAAGCCTTATTCATMCAAAAAAACTAAATTCGGGGATGTTGAAAAAAAGTTACAGCTGTTCAAAAATGAAACAATTCGCTATATTTTGAAATTCCTGTATAAAAAAGGGAAGAATGCCACGCAAGCCACCACTGAAGTTTCTGAAATTTACGAAGATGATACTGTATCAGTTCATGTAGCACAACACGATCCGATTTCCACTGATGGAGTAATGTATCTAGCGGAAAAATAACAAAAAGTGATCTACCAAAAGATACGAAAAGATTTGTTCCATTACCCAATATTTAATTTTTATGTAAAAAGAAAATTATTGAAGAAATTCAGTGTTTCGCTCAAAGGAAACCCAAGTAAATTCATTAAATCTGCAGAATCGCAACTATATTTATCCCATAATGGGTGGGCCGCCGTAAACTAACTCCTACATGGATTTGTGGACATTTGAGCATTACATTATATTACAATTGCGCCGAAATGTAGGCAATGTTTTATGCCTTTACGTTTTTAACGGAGAAAAAGATCTTTACTGAAACACATTATTACAATACAAGAAATGGTTAATAAAACAACATAATGTCAAGTCAGAAAAAATTATATTAAGATTGAAAAATAATGTACTGAAAGCACTAATTGGAAGTAATATATGTACTTTATAATATATATCTTAATCAAACCAATCCAACTTTCGACTTTTTATCTGCAGTTGTACCATATCAAAAGTCGTTCGAAAGCTTTCGAATCTAGTATTTAGTAAGCCAAATATAAATTTTTTTAAAGTCACAATTAAAAGAATAAAAAAGGATCTGAAAATTTTAATGTCATTTTATTATCGATTTTTAGAGACTTTCAGTAGTCAAGACTTTGCATAGTTGTCGGTCAAGTTGCCTAATGCTTTCCTACATTAGGAAATTAATAAACAGTATGGAAAATATTCCTTACATCTTTCCTTCATTAAAATCAATATGGAAAATATATTCTTTATAATTGACAATTTAACAATACTAAACAATATATACATATATTTCTCTTTACATATAAAACTTTGGTAGTGGAATACTACAAACAGTCTTCAAATAAAACCAAAGGAGGTCACTAAGCAATGAAAAGTAAATATTTGTTTGATAAGAATAAGCCGAATGCTACATGTAAATGCTGCAACTTTGACCATTTCTATGCAAATTTGCAAATATGAGCAGCGTTAGGCCGAGCGATAAACAGTTTGTATGGCCAAAAGCAAAAACAAATAAATAAGTAGAAGAATTATAAAGAAATTTGAGCAACCAAAGCGATTATATCGCCAACGAGACAGACTAGCAAGCAAATAAATAGGCGATTATGCGAAACAAAGTGCGACGATTATGCGGCAGAGGAGGGCTACATGACCTCCCATGCATTCCCAGGGCACGCAAGTCGCATTTAACATCAAGTAGACATGCAAGTTTAGAATGAGTAGCGTCAGCAGAAAAGTGAGATTTCAGCTGCGTGTAAACAAAATACGAAAGTAGTTAAGCTTTAAAAGGCATTAATTGCAAAAGTTGCGCATACGCCCTGTGGCGCTTGTGGCCGATGCAAGCCTATGCGCGTCACAACCACTTGCCGACGCCACTCCAGCGCAAACAAATCTGTTTTTGATTTAGATTCAAAGCGAATTAAGTTGTTAGACTTTTTCAATTATTGTCTGCCATTACAAGTGTGTGGCAAAAGTTTTCGGCTGGCCTTTGTAAATGCACGAAAGACTTAAAGTTAAAGCTGAAAACATAATTTCACAACGCATTGTGTATTCACATTGGATACAGTTGTAGAGAATTATAAACATACTACATTGTAAATATAAATGTGTAAGTAAATATCTATAATTGTGTAAGTACTTACGTAATTTTGTGCAAGGTCAGGATGATTCGTTTGTATGCCGTCGTCGAGTATGGAAACAACAACGCCTTTGCCGGTGTAGCCTTTTTGCCAGGCGGGCCCGATATTCATATCGAGACCATCTTTGGCGCCACTATTCTGTGGTGTGTGGTGATTGATGTTGTTTGTTAGTTGTTTTTGTTTTTTTTCGTTGTTGTTGTGCCGTCATTTGAATTGAAGTTTTCGTTTGCAAATAGCGATATATGCGGGCCATATGTAAATCAAATGTCGACATGTATAAAAGAGAGAGGGAGAGAGATAATAAGAAATGGAAATATATTTTAGCGTAACGTTATAGGAAATAAAATTTTTATATTTGACATGTTGTTATGTAATATTCACTTTTAATATTATTTTTGTAAAGTAATAAAGGAAGGTAACGCATTTAGCGAGGGTTTGTGGTACAATTTAGTATAAGCATACTTTTTTTATTTTACAATATTAGTATTTTATTTGAAAATAACAACTGTTTACCTGAATACCTAATTAATATGATTTATATGGGATTTTGTTCTTAAAATAAATTACTTAAAAGCTATCAGATACTATTAAAATACATTTAGCAGTAGTTAAGGTTAAGAATAAATATAAATTATTTTTTCACGAATGAAAAACGCATTCTAACTCTTTTATAATTTATTTTCTAGAACTTTGTGTTCCTCAAGTTTTTAAAATCTCACTTTTTTGAATAAAAATTATTTTGTTTTTAACCCTTAATTTTTTTTTTTTTGTGTTTTTTATAAACAGCGCGAGATGAGCAGACGGAATCAACGCTTTAGAAAAAAATTCTTGGTGCGGAGCAGGAAGCTGCTGTACCAGACTAAAAGGAATAACAATAAATAGAAATCATGTCAGGAGCAGCACAAGGTTCCATTTTAGATAATAAATAATAATAATAAGGTTTCTCCTCAACTTTTAAATTAAATTAAAATAAAATAAAATAAAGTAAAATAAAATAAAATCAAAATAAATAAAATTAAAATTAGAAACTGTCTCTTATACACATCTAGATGTGTATAAGAGACAGTGATGTTTGTAAAGCGTTCCACGCTAATTCAATAAATAAAATAAAAATTAAATAAAATCAAAATAAATAAAACTAAATTAAATTAATTCCATTTTTTAAACGATGTATTAATAAAACTTGCATTAAGTTTACTATTAAAACCTTTTCAAACATATTCAATAGTATTATCCATAAAGCTGTAGATTACTGCATTCTTAATAGTTGCTGAAAAAGCATGTAGTTATAAAATCAGCGAACATTTTTCGACATGAATTATTCAACGCAATCAAAGCTTGTTGAATTCCTTTTCAATCGCCCGCAGCAACTTAACTCGACAATCATAAATGCATTCATGCTTCGTCCTTCGCGTATATGTTGCTTGTCCAAAAAATATGAAGGCAGAAAATCGCGCAAAACGCCACCTTAATGGCAGTGCCATATACTTTTTGCACGAACTGTCATGCACATTCTAATAAACGAGTATAAATAATTTTTGTGTATTCGCTTTTAGCGCTTTCGTCTTTTGTGCTTACTTTCGCGCTTGCAACTTGCTACTGGTCTTCGGCGTCTACTTATTTGTGCGACTTAAGCATATAAATCTTGGAGCAGCGTAATGCCTGCGGGTGAACTTGCCATTTGCTATGGGTAACCGCACTACTGAAAGTAGCGAGCTTCTTCTTTTCTACGTTTTTCTACTATTTGCAGCACTTTCTCACAGTTTTGCACACTTTTTCTATCGGTTAAAACTTTGCAAGCGCCTGACGGCAAGGATAATATGACAAGATCCTCACAACAAAGCGCCGCTCTTTCTTTGCGCCTCGGCAGCACCATTGTGAATTTGCTGGCTCTGCTTGGTGGACTTGTTTGCTTGCCAGCTAGCTACCTTTGGTTGGCTTTCTTCTTTGTCTGCGCTCGCTTTTGTCACTTGCAACGTGTGCACTTGGTGCATGTATTCTTGTTGTTGTGCCTGCTGCTGTTGCAGCATTGTGGGCATTGTCAAGTTGGTTTACCTTCTTGGTGTAAAACTACAACTTAGCCACGCGTATCAGCGTCGCGCCCTGCTCGGGAGGGTGCGAGGAGATTGCATTTACTGGCAATCTTTATTTATATTTCGTTATTTACCTTTTCTTGGTCCTCAACTGAAGCCTCTGATTTATTTCTTACTCTTTGTGGATTTTCTTTTTCATCGCTTTGTGTGTGTGTGTGTGTCGATTGTGTGAGTGAAATGTTGTTGGTTTAGCTTTGTTTGGCTGTTGGTTTAGTGGCATTGTCAAATCGAAAATCCAATAAATCTGATGAATTCGAGAGGACTTTCCAAGGCTTTAGTTGGCTTTGAGGTGACGAGAGGGTGAGCAAGAACTACGTGAGCAACGAGTTGGAGATATTGAGGTAAGTTATTTTTATTGTTGCAGCATGACTGGGTAGTTTGCAATTAAAAATAAACTAAATTAAAATAAAATTAAATAAAATAAAATAAAATAAAATAAAATTAAATTAAATTAAATATAATAAAATAAAATTGAACTAAATTAAATAATTTAATTACGTAATTTACGTCACCTGATATAGAATATTATCAAAATAATGGGTATATACTACCAAGATAACGTACTTCAAGAACCAAACCGCCAATTAAGCTTCCAATAATTTATAAATAGGGATCATGTTATTAGGGGTTTACTGTACTTAAATAACGGTTAAGATTAACTGTGCTTAACTAACGAAAAAAATAAAACAATAAATCAAAACCAAAATATGAGATAATTATAATTTACTAAATGAAGCGCCAAGTTTTATGCAACGTATTTGGTACAACTATTGCAGTTTATATACATTGAAATCCAGATTGTTGCCTACATTTAGAAAATCTTAAATAATTAAAAAAATTTTGCATAATTCCAACACACAAGTGACACTTTCCAGGTCTTACACCATACTTACACTTATATTTACTATGCACTTAGGGAAGAGTTTATAAAAATAACACCAAATTAAAATTAAAAAATATTTCCGCCATTATCCCGCCAAGTACAGCCCGTTAAGGTGAGGATTGAAGTAAAAACTAATAAAATGAAACAAAATTTCTTACATACTTCACTCACCAAGTACCACTGTTCCTTGAAAAGAGGATCGGGAAAGATGTTATGCGATGTGACAGCGCGATATTGTATGCGTGAAGCGCGTGACAATAAAGCCGAGCTGCTGCGCGCTGACGCAGTCGGGTGATATGCTAGGCGGGAACCTGGTGCGCTGACAAAACCTGCGCCGGGTCGTATCACATCGTAAGGGCTGTAGCCTGGTAGAGTGGTATAGGAACCATCACGTTTTTTACGCAACTTTTCATGCTGTTGCTGCATCCATCGGACCTGTAACGAAATTGAGCGTAAAATTTTATATTATTTTCGGGTAAAGGAACCTGAAATATGTAATAAACTGTTATTAAGCAAGTAAAATAAAAAGTATTTGAACTCTAATTTTAAATATAAAGTATTTGAGAGTTTTTATGAAATGTTGGTATTAATGTGCCTAATTGTAGGCAATGGTTTTTTTAACGCTATTTTTGAAATTTTGAACAACGCAAGCTCAGTTTTTTTAAAGTTTAGTAATTCGTAAATTCGTTGTCTACGTCAATAAAAAAGACAAATATTTTGTAGTAATTATGAACTGCTTTAAGTACTCACCTCGGGTTCGGAATTTAAGGCGCTATGGTGTTCGCTACTGATACGCAAAGAACGCTTAACGACACGACGATGGTGGAAGAGATAGTAGTCTTTTAAGGAACCAACCTGCAAATGAAAATATTTGTAAAAATACAAAAAAAGTAATATTTTTGGATTTATTTATAATAAATATAACAATTTTTTTTATTTGGAAAAAATTTGTTTTTATAACTTTTATTTTCTCTAAAATAAATGACAAATTTTTATTTTTAAACTTTTTTTTTATTTAAAAAAATACTAAATTTCAAAATTTTTTTAGTTTGGAAAAAATTTGTTTTATAAGTTTTGATTTCTCTAAAATGCGTGGAAAATTTTAGTTTTAAAATTTTAGTTTTTATTTAAAAAAAAAAATAGTAAACAATTTTTTTGAATAATTTTCCATTTGAGTAAAGTGAATGGTTTTATAATTTTTTATTATAATTTATTATAAGAAATGGAGAAAATATCTTCAAAAGATTATAAACATTTGTCTAAAAATGCACGGCTAATAGTCGACTAGAATGCTTTTTTTTGTAATTTAAAATACGGAGAAATCTGATTTTTAAACCAAAAATTTTTAATTAAAAAATTCGCCACCCTGAAAATATGTAATTCCAAAAATCTAAATATTTAAAATTTCTTTCAATACACCACACAAAATATTCTCTGAATGCACAGAATAGAATTTCTCGCCCTCAACCAGTCGATCATAGCAACTGCAAAACACTCTCAAATCCCATGCACTCATAGCCAATTTTAGTCACTCATACGCCATGTGGTCACCCCGAAAGAAATTGCCAATAGTACAGCTGTGTGTGTGGACGCCGTTGAATAAAAATCACTTGCATACCCTTGGGCGTGTAATGAAAAGTTTTCGAACGAATGAATGCAGCAGAAATGAGAAATCAAAAATCAGAAAATCGAAATCTGAACGTACCACAGAGAAATGTCTTTTTTCTGCTGCCACTAACAAGATGTTTATTACTTTTACTTACCGTTAGAGTGGTTTACTTCAAAATTTACTCGACACACGAGCATTTACTGCACAAGTGAGTGCGTGTAATTGTGCAACTGAAAATGTGTGTTTTTGTTATAGTTTTTTTTTTTCTTTCTTTCGAGTTTATTTCTATGCTTTCAGATATGTTGTGGAAATTCCCTGAAGCATGCGGTGGCCAAATGCCTGAAGTAGCATTTTGATTGGCAAGCACTCGGAGCAAAAGTGCTGAGTGGAATGGTCAATGAAGGACTTGTTCTTCAAGGTAAAGGCAACTAGCATTTGTATATTTATAGAGTGACGTGTGTGCAACTAATAGTTGAATTTAATTTTAGAGCAATTCACTAGACAATACTTGTTTGGGAGGAGCAGAAAGTGTTTTTAAAGTAAAATGAAAGTAAAATAAAGTTGATGTGCAGCAAAAAGCAAGATAAAAAGAAATTAGTAGTTATTTTTGGAGTCCACATGCATGAAAGTTAAAGAGGAGTATAGGACAAGACATTAGGATAATGGTGGATAGTTTCAAAGTTTATATACATTGAAAAGGTTTAGGATGCGTTTGAAATAATTTTTACTTTTAATAACTCCTAAAAATATGTAGAAATGTTTTCTTTTTTTCCAATTCCAACCAAAAACTCCCACATCGAAAGCTTTCATGCACAACAATATTTAAAGCCTCTCTCTCACTAAACTGGAATTTGCATAAGAAATTTGAATTTCAAATAAACTCCAAAATTTCCGCATTTGTGTGCATATTTACCCATACCTATACACACATGCGCATAGTTTAAACAAACACGGTTATTTGCCGTAAATTTTTACTCACGTTCCAAACCCGCATGCTGGGGAATTCTCAGATAATTTGCTATTGAAAATTGCATCACGTTGCACAAACGCCAAGAAATGCATGCACCAAAACTGTAAATTGGCTGTGACAGCACACACATGCCTGCACTTGCTTCTCCCCATACACATGTACGCTCATAAGCATGTGCAGCTGTATGTGTGCGGCATCAGTAGACACCAAATATTTGTGCGCGAGTTTTTGATTGCGGTATTTGAAGTATTCTCAAGCAATTCACAACGCTTTTGTTCCGAACTGTGCAGCGAGGAAGGGCAAATGATGATTTCGCAAAAGCAGCCAAAGTAAATAAGTGTCTTAGAATGTAGAGAGCGGAATTCAGGTATGGTGGAAATTAGAGAGAGAGAAGGAGAGGAAAATGTTGGAGATATTTGGGTGGCCTGGTAGGAAGTATAGATGGGTAAATATTTTATACTTATTACAAATAATAACTTGCAGCAAATAATTACTAAATATACTATACATACATAGGCTTCACAAGTATTGAGAGAAAAATTATGAAAAAGTAAATATTTTATAT